TAGTTCTTGATTGCAGAAAAAAAAAAAAAAAAAAAAGTCCAAACGTGGCATCAGACATGCATCAGTGATAAGAGCAATCATTAAGCACTGGGCATTCTTGAAAAGAAAAATACATGCATTTTTAATAATGTTCATGCATCCTAAATTATAGTAATGCATAAAAAACACTGAAAGAGCAATGATGCCTCTAAACATGGTAGTAATTCACGGTAGACTGTTATCTGTGTATGTATAATAATCATATTTTATAAGGCCACACTTTTCTCTCAAGGTGACCGAAGTCTTCAGTAAGCTATGATTTATCTATGAGTGTGCTGGATAACTGTGGGACCTTATGCAGTCAACCATGCTCACCCTCGCTTTCCCTTCCTGACCTTTTGCGGATAATGGGATCAAACAAAAGAGAACTGAGACCCTGGATCAGCTTTAATATTCATCCTGAGGGACCTTAAAGCTATAATATTATTAAGTGTACATGCACTTAAGTTATACAGTTGTGAGTTGGTGTTAATGGTCTGCAGTAATTCTATAATGTTTGTGTGTGTGTGTGTGTGTGTGTGTGTGTGCGCGTTTTTGTGACAAATGAGGACATAAATTTGTATAATGACAAGGGTATGACATAGGTATTACAAGGAGAAGGTGACTTTTCAGGACATTACCCCATGTCCCCACTTTTCAAAACGCATATAAATCACACAGAATGGAGTGTATTGAAATAGATACAAATAGCTATCTGAAATAGCACAAAGTTTCCTTTTAGGGGTAGGGTTGGTGTAGGGCAATAGCACATACAGTTTGTACAGTAGAAAAACCATTACGCCTATGGGATGTCCCCACTTTTCACAAAAACAAACCTGTGTGTGTGTATGTATATACACACACACACACACACTATGACACGCCTACTCTGTGTGCTGACCAGCCAATCACAATTAACCTCAAATCTCTCCATTTCCTAATATCCATTGTAGCGAATGAGCAATAACAACAAAATTACAACGCTAAAGAAATTTAGCTCCCATAAGCAGGAAAATTATTTTGAAAAGTGTGTGAAATGTTCTTTGTGTCGAGATAATTCATCATTTAAAGGAATGTTCAGGTTCAATAGAAATTAGGCTTGGCAGAATCTTTCACAACTTTATGGCAAAATTCAAGCAAATGATGCCAAAAATGCTGTCTTGTTTCGAATCCAGGAGCAGTAATAATAATAATAATTCATATTAAATAATGAATAGTTAATGCTCTACTTTAAATCATTAGATTATTATATTCCATTTTGCCCATTTTGTGTTGTTGTAAAATAGGAAATGGCAAAAAAAAAAAAAAAAAAACACTTAACCCCCTAAGCTTTAAGATTATGTTTTCCATTCTCTAATAAATGATTAGGTTACACTTTGTCTTAAGGTGTCCTTGCTATGGTGTAATATTAATTAACAACATGCGTAAGGTTAGGATTAGGGTTTGATTTAAGGTTAGTTGCATGTAATTATACAGTACATCATTTACTGCGATTACTACAACATATTCCAACTTAACACTGTCTCTTAAAACTGCTATTCCAAACCAAGAAACTGAAGGTCGAGTCATTTATCTAAATGAACAAATCCCTGTTAATGAAGAGCGTCACATAAAAATATGTGGTAACACTTTACAATAAGGCCCCATTAGTTAAGGTTAGTTAATGCATTAACTAACTAACATCACCTCCTTCACATCCTTCAAGGAATAGTTCACTTTAAAATGAACTGTGCTCACCCTCAGGCCATCCAAGATTAGGATGAGTTTGCTTCTTCATCAGATTTGGAGAAATGCAGCATTGCATCAGTGTCTCAGCAATGGATGCTCTGCAGTGAATGGGTGCCGTCAGAATGAGAGTCCAAACAGCTGATAAAAACATCACAATAATCCACACCACTCCAGTCCATCAGTTAAAATTGACTGAACTGATTAGAATCCATTCATTAAGACTTTTTAACTTAAAACCATCGCTTCCAGCTAAAATAAGTTCATATTTCATAATAATAACACTTCCTCTTACATCAAAATCCACCCATAGTTTTGTTTAGAGCTGTTTAGGACTGTTTTTCTTGTAAACGGTATCTGTGCATATTCCTCTCCTGATTCAGACCACACAACTTTTTCCCTGAAGAAAGCAATTTTATGGATAAAGGACTCATATTTTAGCCAAAGTTTAAAATTTTAAAATGTCTTATGGATTTTCTTTCTTACAAACACACACCTTTTCACTTCTCCAGATGTTAATTGATGGACTGGAGTGGTGTGGATTACTTGTGGATTATTGTGATGTTTTTATCAGCTGTTTGGACTCTCATTCTGACGGCACCCATTCACTGCAGAGCATCCATTGCTGAGACACTGATGCAATGCTACATTTCTCCAAATCTGATGAAGAATCAAACTCATCTACATCTTGGATGGCCTGAGGGAGAGGTCATTTTGGGGTGAACTATTTCTTTCATTTTGTTGTTAATCAAGTGAGAACTGTCACACATGTTGTTGTTTTTTTGTTACTGATCTCAGACGAATCTGCTGTCTCTGAGAGAACTGAAATCAACAAAAATATATTGTAAAACGGCTTTGTGGAGTATTTAGATTTATTATTTGTTGGCATCTACGAGAAGTGTTTTTGGTCTCGAAAAGACAATGATAAAAAAAATCTTTTGAATTCTTTAGTCAACATTGACCCAGAGAAGCAACTGATGATTCTGAATGATTTTTCAAAATTGTGAATAAAACTAAGATTATTGGAGTACGTTTTACATACTATTGACATGTTTTACATACTACATACCAGTCTTTATACTTCAAAAATTCATGTTTAAATTTATGTGTTACATGCTGTTTCTTTGTAATTAATTGTGAAATTTACTAGCAATTTCGGTAACACATTAGAATAGGGAACACTTATTCACTATTAACTACGAATTTCCCCTCAATAAATTCCTAATTTGCTGCTTATTAATAGTTAGTAAGGTAGTTGTTAAGTTTAGGTATTGGGTAGGATTAGGGATGTAGAATAAGGTCAGGTAGAATAAGGCATTAATATGTGCTTAATTACTACTAATAAATGGCTAAAATTCTAGTAATATGCATGCTAATAAGCAACTAGTTAAGAGACCCTAAAATAAAGTGTTACCGCAATTTCTTAGTTATAATTGTTTCTACAACTTTTTTTTTTAGTGTAGACAGTCAAATTTGCAACTCTTTGGAGTTTAGTGGTATTCTCTATTCATTTGTCATGTTAAGACTGAAATTATTGTTCTGTGCATAAACAAATACATTATGGACATTTTTGGATCACTAGATTCGTTTATGGTTTATGACCACCTCTGTTCTCCATTACATCCATTCCCAATGCACGTGAAGTTAATGCATCTTTTTTTTTTTTTCATCCTGAGGGTCTCTTGTTACAAAGCTGACCAATCACAGCTGTTGTGGTCTGTGTAGATGCAACATGAGTTACACTGGAGAGACGTACGGCACAGGATACACTTTAACCACTGCATCTATGCAGAGCTTACAGCATGAATCTGACGCAGAAGCGTAAATAGGCCTTTAGTCTGTTTTTAAATCTGAATATAGTATTAAAAGTTATTCAAAATCTATTAATAAACTTTTTTTTTTTACAGTTTATATGTACGTCTAAGTGAAAGGCATGATGTAGGATGTATGATGTATGATGACTTATTACGGAAAAAATAGTTTAAAAGAGTGAAATTTAATGTTTTCTGACACTTAACTGCATGTTAATTAAAGTTAAATATAAATTATATTATATGTATTATAGTTGAAATGTATATTTAATGCAATTAGCTGAACTTTAGAATGCTTTCTGATCCACTTAAGTAGGACTTAAGCACATCTTTATATGTAATTTCATAATTACTTCTATTATCTTTGAAATATCGTTAAAGTACTGCTGAACTGTGTGTGTGTGTGTTCACTACTGTGTGTGTGCACTTGGATGGGTTAAATGCAGAGCACAAATTCCGAGTATGGGCCACCACACTTCACTTACACTTTTTTTTCACAATGATGAAGAAGCATTATTCAGAGCTGAAATATTCTGAATAATGTAATATTAATATAAATATAATTTATATATATAATATAATTCCCAACTGCGGCCTTGAATTTGCATACAAGGGAAGATGCTTTAGGGAGTTTATGAGTGTTATTATATGCCTTATTTTGAAGCTGATAATGATAACATGATGATGCTCTTGCATTCGTTACGTCTGGTCCAATTTTCAATAGCAAGACTGGGGTTAGCAAGTAATTAGGAGAGAAAGATAACATGACCTGACGTTTTTAAAGCAATCAGCACCATCTGTTGGTCTGTTTTTGTATTTATTTATTTATTTAGTTTTTTGTTTTTTTTGCCACATTAGGCATTATTTCCCTTTGGTGGCTGTTTTATGTACAGTAAGGTAAAAGTTTCTGAAGAAAACGTAATCCTCGGACAGCCCACCAAAAACGGGTTATTTTCCTAGCGCTAATACTACAAATCAAACTTTCCACAAACATGAAAATATAACATTTAATTGATCATGTGTGAATATAACATTTTAACTGCAGTTAGGCTTGGTTTTTTAATCATTTGCAAATGAATTATAACTGCTGCTTTGACCCAAATTGGACAAAGTAAAAGGTGGTTGCTACTGACAGTCTGAGTTTGTTGAGTATTTACACACAAGCACATCCATATGCATGTTAAAGGAGGGCCTGGTGAGATGTAACCGCTCGACAATCAAGGGGCAGAGGCACAGAACAGATGGCCCAGAGACAGTGTCTTGATTTGAGGCGGTTTAATACCCTTATCCCAACCAGCCCTAGCCTAGCCCCCATCTGTTCGAGCTTTACACTCATTTGAAAATGTCAGTGCCATTCAGGCCATGATTCGTATCTTTTAAAGCTTGCTGAATTTGCTTATGGAGGGGAGGTTGGTCGTAGATCAGCTTATTTTTAAACAGGCAGCATTTACACTACAAGGGCTCAGAAACAAAAGAGACTGAATGCAGGAGTAAGGGAAAATGAAACCTCCCAGAGGAAGAGGAGGAATGGAGCCTCCCTGTAGCTAAAGGCAAAATAATATATAGGATGATGAGGTGATGAACAGAGCAAAATACGATAATTCTATCTAACTATATATCTACTACCACATCTATCTATCTATCCGTCCGTCCATCCATCCATCCATCCATCCACCCATTCCATCCATCCATCCACAAATCCATCCAAATAGGGGAGAGATGGCATTATCAATAGTAAGTGAAAAGCTGTCGGATTTTGCCAAATTTGGTTTAGAACCAGGCTTTGCTTTGATTTCATCTAAACAGTCCAAAAGGAAAGGAGAAAGAAGAGTAGAGGCTTGGAGGACAAATAGAGCTGGGTATCATCTGCATAGCATTAGAATTTAATACCAAATTTCCTAAAAATATGACCAAGGGGTAATAGGTAGATAATAAATAAAAGAGGGCCCAAGACAGAGCCTTGAGGAACACCAGTAGTAACAGATGAGGAATATTATCTAAATGTATCTTTCTATATGTATTTTTCTTATGTAAAATATTCAAGGAATGTTTCCTACTTTTGTGTTACTTAAAACAAGGAAGAAAGACAACTAATCATTAAAATATTCATTAAACTAAAGTAACAATATAACAAACCAATATACTACACATAAGTAAATACTGTAGCATTATTTACTTTCTTTCTTTCTTTTTAAAAGGGACGTAAAATTAACACTTTCCCCCTTTATATATTACTAAAATATTTTAATACATAAAAAATACCAACCTAGAATTTCTGTGAACAGTTTTAGTAATGAAAAAATCACAGTAAGAGCAATTTTTTTTTTATTGTTTTAAATTATTTAATTCAGTATGAACTGATTTATAGAAATGAATCAGCAGCATTTTAAGGATGAAATGTACTACATGCAGTACAAACAAAACACAACTTTTGCCCCAATTTGCATTATGGATGAGTCAACACTAGTTGCTGAATGTCAGAGCAAGTTTTTTTGCTCTGACATTCAAGTAATTTTGTTGTGTGTTTTATCATTTTTTTATTCATTTATTTTTTAATGTGTCTATACAGTTTCTTTTAATCTTTATTTCAGTTTTAGTTTTAATTAATTTAAATCAAATGAAAGTAAATGAAAATGAGAAAAATGTATTAGTGTTGATAAGTTCCTCTGTAACCATGTGTATGATCTGTAAAATCTGTTCAGATTTGCACACATTCCAGCCTTTAGATTAAATGAAAGAACTCCTGCTGCTTTTCAATTAATTACAGAGTTAAACCTCTCACGGTTTAATATATCTAAAGATCCCATCTGTACTTGTGGAAACTGCACTTATAGATTACCAATGAAGCTTTATATGTTTTGAAGCCACACAGTCATTGTAGACGTACCTATATGAAGGCTTATTTATTAACCCACTGCATATAATGGCCTGCTGTAGCAACAGGGGTGTGAACTTATAAAATTAACTACATGAGTCATTTAAAAATAATAAATGTAACCTGTAATGTTATTGTGGTAACATTAAGAAACACTTACTCTTAGTGATGGAGTTATGGAGGCTCAGAGCTCTGGAGTTTCTTTCTTCACTTTCCATGCAGGAGGATCTCAAGGTCACATCACTGACCGATGGCCTCTCTTCAGGCCCCTGATCACACCCAAACTAGACAGAGAGGAGGAACGAAACCATCAATGAGTAGAAGTGGCAGTATGTCCAAAATATCATGGTAAATGTATATAACAATACAGTTATTTTTGCTTGAATTTAAACCTCAAAGTTATGGTACTGTCATATATGTATGTAGTATGCATACAATGTAATACAGAGAATTAAATGCTACAAATTAAAGGTTCTTTCAAATTAATCAATGAAATATTTCTTGCATTTTCTTGTTGTAATTCATCATACTTTCTCTTTTGTCTCACTGAGTATCATTCATTCATTCAAATTTTATTTTATGCATGCAAACCAAAAAGTTTAAATAAGTTATACATAATAAGTTTGGCATCAATAAAAAACTGTTTTACAGAGTTAAAAACAAAAGTCTCAAATCAATCAATCAATCAATCATATAAATAAATAAATATTTCCTCTATTTTCTCATCATATTCATCTTACCTTCTCTTTTGTCCCACCGAGTACAAAAGTATATATATATTAAATGTATGCGTATTAATTACAAATCTGGTATCATTAAAAGACAGCTTTTATACAAAAATAAAAATAAAAGACTCAAAACAAACAAACATTTCCTTCATTTTCTTATCACATATCATATACAATCATACTTTCTCTTTTGTCCCACTAAGTAGTAAGTACATTGAGTATTTATTTATTTATTGGAATATTTGAAGGATATTTAATGGATGCAAACCAAAAGTTTATTTATTCATTTAATTTACACTTAATTACTGAAAAGTCTGAGTTAAAAAACAAAAGGATCAAAACAGCAATCAACTACCTAACTAACTAACTAATAAAAAAATCTACAAAAAATTTTACTCAATGCACTCAGTTGGACAGAAGATAAAGTATGATAAATATAAACAGATAAAACGCAGGAAATAGAGGGAGTGAGAGAAAGTGATTTTATGAGGGGAAGAAGGGAAAGGATGAAGTGGGAGGAACAGAAAGGAAGGAAAGAGAGAGACAGAGAGAGAGAGAGAGAGAGTGGGAGACGGATCTGAGAGGTTAAAACCCTTCTGAAAACAGCAATCACTTTCCAAATAAAGAGAGTTACACAAGCGGATCCATCAGATGCCCTCTGTGTGGGAGACAGATACTGAACACAACAGCAGCACATCACGCCATGATTCAGGTGCTTCAATGCATTGTGCTCTTCTGTAAGTGTTCATGTCCTTATTATTGTTTAAGTAAGCTGCACAATTAGACGTGTAACGATTCAAGTGTTTTCACCATGCATCGGTTGCCACGGTCAGGGGAAAAGTAGGGAATTTTAATTATGATGATTTCCAGACCGAGAAATCTCATTGGAAAAAAAATAAAAAATAGATATATGGAATACTTTCCTAAGTGTGCTTGGCTCTAAAATACGTTATTATGGTTTATTAATATTTTAAATTAGTTTTTAATATTTTCAGTTTCAACTTTAATTTTAGTTAAAGTTTTAGTAAATTGGATGCGTTTTTTCTTAAATATGTATATACTGTTTTTTTTAAATTAATTTTTAGTTTTAGTTTATTAATTTTTATTTTAGTACTTAAGTTAAACTAAATGAAAATGAGAAATGTTGCCTTGGGAACTAGCTGAAAAAATACATTTAAGTTTTTAAATATTTTATTTTAATCTGAAGTCATTTTTACTGTTTATGGTTTTAGTTTTAGTTAACTATAATAATTTTGGTTCAAAATGACTTTCATTCATTTTTTAGCTTTTAAAATCAATGCTTGACTGAAACAAGCAATTCATGGAATAATAGGGAATTTTAAAATTGTTATTTCCAGACCGAGAAAACTCTTAAAATCTCTCCTTTTTTAAAATTAATGGAATATGGAATAATTTCCAAATATTTTATAATAGTAATTAGTTTTCATTTTAGTACAGCCATTTAGATTTAATTTTAGTATAGTCATTTAGTAATTTTGTTGTGTTTTATTTAGCTCCAAAATATTTTATCAACACATTGCATTTGTTACATTTCCAAGTACATGGGTTTAATGTGTTTACTTTCAAGTTGCTTGGCGCAAAAACATTCTTAAGTAGTTTGTGTTTTTTTTTTTTTACCTAAGAAACACTAGAAGCATTTATATAACCTATTAATGCATTAAAAAAAACAGAATAAAAACAACTGAACTTGAATTGAATCTCATTGTGAAATACATCGAATTGAATTATTCTGAATTTGAAAAGAATCATTTCTAAATCACATCGAAAACCTACAAACGGGTTTGTTCCTATAAAGTAATGCATGTGTGTGAAAGAAGACATTGACAACTCCTGGGGTGCTATACGATTCATTGTTTCTGTGCCTACTGTGATCACATGATCATTTCTCGCTTGTCGTGACAATCGGTGCATTCAATAGGCTGTTTCTCCCATCAGCTGTAAAACAATATAGTGTCTTAATGAAAAGAGAGCAGTGTGTGCTTTAGATACCTGTTGCTCTTGCTCCAGAGGCACTTTGGGTTTGACTGTCAGTATGAGGTCAGGGGTCTCGTCCCGAAGCTCTCCAGGGTTTTCATAGATGTGCCTGTTTGCTTTCAGCCCCACGTTATCATATACATGCCTGACAGACAAACACATTCATAGAGGAGAAACATCAGTTAAACAGAATAAATAAAAGATAGAATAGAATAAAAAAACACTACTTTACACTTCACTACTATAAAAAGTGTCTTTTTAAATTAAATAAAATGGTTGTGTTGTCTATTGTGCTTATAAATATGAACGCTTTCCAATTAAAGGGGTCGTACATATTCTTGGTTAATTTAATTAGTAGTACTTATTACTGCAATAATAGACTTAATGTTTAGAATAGAATTTAATGTTTTAAGCATGCATGTTAACTGTAATTAAATAAAAAATGTATTATATGCAATAACATATTAAATGCAATTAGATTAAATTTCAAAGTGCTTTTTTGACTCATTCAGTACATCTTTATATGTAATTTTATAAATACTTCTATTGTTTTTGAAATATGGTTAAAGTACTGCTGAATGTAGTTGCAAGCATTTATGATAAACTATACTTTAATGTCATTTCTACTGAAACTTGCATGTCAAGGATTTAAATATAATATCCAATAACACACTACAGTTAAAAATATAATCAAGTACTTTACATGTGCTTTAGTATGTTAGTCAACGCATCAAAAGTACTTCCTTATAGAATAATAAAAGATTATTAAGACAATGGATTTAAAATGTATTTTAACTAAAACTACAAAAACTTTACTTTAAATTTGTCATTATTACAAAGTGCACTTTTTTTTAAAAAAGTTAAGAAACGGTATAGTCAGTGTTTATTGTTAACTAAAACTAAAACAATCAAAAATCAATTTTCGTTAAAATAGAAAAAATATATACTGTAGATATTAGATGAAAACTTAAATGTAAACTTAACTTTAAAAATGTAGTAGTTTAAGTAATGAAACTTAAAAAAAGAGTAGTTTTAATCATTTTAGAGTAAACAAAAAAATTGAAATGTTGCCTTCGCAGCTAAATGGAATAAAATAAGTTGAAGTACTAAAATTGTTAAAACTAAAATAAACGTAAATTAAAGATAAATATTACAAAAAAATAAATAAAAAAATTGTAAAAAAAATGACAAAAGCACATTTCAAAACTATTTGCATTATAATTAACATGCCAATTGAAAATACAAAAATAAAACCTAATTCAAAACATTAATAAAACTATAATGACATAAATAATACTAAAACAACACTGTTGCAAAAAGGTCATTTTAGAACCCTGATTTAATCTGCGCCCGTATGAGAGGCAGGCTGGGTGGAGAGAGGAGCGAATCTGTTTCCATGGGCTCCGGAAATCCCATCTGCTCCTCGTGTATCTCCTGCTTTGGAGTTTCCCTGTCTGTCGTCTTATTTTCAATCTGTTTCTTCTCCTCTTTCTCTCCTCCGCCGCCATCAACCTCAACTTCTTCATCGTCATCCAGAACCCAGGCCTCGCCTGACCGTCCCTCTCCGGATTTGCTCTCCGCGTCCTGGATGGCCTTCTGGTAGAGCTCAGAGAAACTCCTGAACTCAGACAAGCACAAGAACAACGGCAAAAGAACGTGAATAACAACAAAGAAAGTTTCCGCTCATTTATTTCTGCGTGTGCATTTCACTGTTAGTCATGGATGAAGAGATCAATGCTGCTATTTTGGTGTTCTTTTTTTGAAGTATATTATATAATCAAAGACTTACGTAAAGCATGTTGAATAAGTCAATTTTGAACAAAATGCCATTTTAACCCATGATCTGTGTGTGTGTGCTTGTGTTTGGTGTGGTTGTGTGTGTGTGTGCTGGTGTGTGTGTTTGTGTGTGTGTGTGTGTGTGTGTGTGCTTGTGTTTGTGTTTGTGTGTGTGTGTGTGTGTGTGCTTGTGTTTGTGTTTGTGTGTGTGTGTGTGTGTGTGTGTGTGTTGGATGGATCAATAAGCATTATGAGAGTTGAATGAGATCTGAGCAGCTGGTGAAACACTGACTAAAACATGTTCATGTCAATATAATGAGGTCTGTCCTTTATTCATATGCTCCCTGCTCCTCTCTATCCATCTGTTTCCCTCCCTAGGGAGCATAGATAAAAATATACAATACAAATGCATATGTACAAATAGATAATTTGATAATAGATAAGAAGATATTAGGTAGACAATAGGTAATTAGATAATAGATCATTCAAGTGGCAGTATAATAATTGTGGCAGATGAGTAATGTATTGGACGGATATTACAAAAAGTGGCTTTAAACGTCAATGTATTGTCAGTCCACGGCAATTGCAATCAAGTTTGTCAGCCTAATTATTTTCACGACTTAAATTAAACTTAATTTAAAAATGTTTGTGGAATTAAACTGCTCAAAAGTGACAGTAAGGACATTTATAACGCAACAAAAAAGATTATATTTCAAATAAATGCTGTTTTTATAACTTTCTATTCATCGGAGAATCCTTGGAGGGAAAAATTGCTTCCACAAAAATATGAAACAGCAAAAACGTTTTTTTAACATCGACAATAATAAGAACAATTATTAATTAAGGAGCACCAATAATAATTGGTAATAATTTCAGCAGCAAATCAGCATATTAGAATGATTTCTGAAGATCATGTGACACTGAAGACTGAAGTAATAAAAAAATTCAGTTTGCATCACAGAAATACATTACAATTTATAATACATATTTACATAGAATGCAGTTCTTTTAAATTGCAATAATATTTCACAAAATTACTGTTTTTACTGTATTTTTTTATCAAATACATGCAGCCTTGGTATATGGAATCTTGTTTCCACCATGGGATAAAAAAAAAGAAAATTTAAAAAGGTAATTGCAATGCAATTGCATATTGTGAGATAAAATGTCACATTAGCATTTTTTTGTCGCTGAAAAAAAGAGAGAAAAAACAGAATCATGAGGTGCAAACTGAGAATTCTGAGAAAAAAATTCAGAATTCTGAGTTTTTATCTCGCAATTCTGTGTTTATATCTCACAGTTCTGAATTGTGAGATAAAACCTTTTTTTAATTCTGGAAATGATCAAATATATGATAAATTACTCTGGCTTTCATATTGGGAAGCAAAGATACTTCTTTCAAAAATGTAAAATAAAATTCCTTATCAACCTTAAACTTTTGAGCGGTGGTTTTTGACAGGATACACATTACATTTACCATCATTAATTACATTATTAACAGCACTCCACTCACTGCTTACTATTTGTAACTCGTCAGCCCACTTTTCTCTCAAAATCACTGCAGTGTATGCATTCTTTACATCATCCCCCCATTTTATCCACTTCCTCTGACACACACTTCCTCATAACCCGTCACCTCTATTACCTGCGTGGTTTTCCGTTCTCGTCTGGAGGAATGACTGTGATGTGGATCTTTTGAGCCGCGCGGAGGAGTCGGCTCCGCTCTTCCAGGCTGAGGTGCACCAGGACCTGCCCACAGAGACGAACCACACGAGCCCCCAGCTGCAGGCCGCCGCTCTCCGCGTATCCGAACCGCTGGAGCTCCGTTACAAAGCCTTCCTCGCTCATCAGGAAGCCCGGCTGGCCGACACCGTCCCGCAGGGGAGTGACCTCACGCGCCTCACAGCCTCGTGTCACCAGCTGCGGGGAAGTACAGGAGCATCATGTTAAAACGGCACACAGCACATTATAAAGAGCTCCAAGTCTTAACCCTGTAAAGCCGGACATATCAAATAATAAACCATTAGACACAATGTTTTTTTGTTTTTTTTTGTTAAGTATCATGTTTGATAAATGTGACCCTGGAGCACAAAAGCAGTCTTAAGTCGCTGGGGTATATTTGTAGCAATAGCCAAAAATACATTGTATGGGTCAAAATTATTGATTTTTCTTTTATGCCAAAAATCATTAGGATATTAAGCAAAAATCATGTTCCATGAAGGTATTTTGTAAATTTCCTACTGTAAATATATTAAAACTTAATTTTTGATTATTAATATGCATTGCTAAGAACTTTATCTGGACAACTTTAAAGGTGATTTTCTCAATATTTAGATTTTTTTGCACCCTCAGATTCCAGATTTTCAAATAGTTGTATCTCGGCCAAATATTGTCCGATCCTAACAAACCATACATCAATGGAGAGCTTATTTATTCAGCTTTCAGATGATGCATAAATCTCAATTTCGAAAAATTGACCCTTATGACTGGTTTTGTGGTCCAGGGTCACATATCAGGTTTTATAGCTTATATAGTCTGACAAAGTGAGAATATGGAGGAAAAAACAGCTCAGTTTTCTTCATTGACTCAAACTGAGCAACAATATGCAATTTGGTGCAGATGCTGATAGTTGTATGGACAAAAAGTTGATGAAATTCTGATAGCTTGTAAAAAAAATAAGATAATATTAGTAGTATAACAGAGATAACAGTATAGCACATACTTGCATAAAATGATATAAATATCAGACGTCACCCTGTATCTCCAATAATATTTATTTTAAGATGATATTTAAATGCTTAGTTTGATGATCTAAACATACAGTCAAACCAAAATTTATTCAGACACCTTTTTCGCTATAGTTTAGAAAATGGTAATAAAATATGACAAGAACTCAGAGTTAAACTGTCCGAACAAATTCATCTTGATAATGCCATCCTTCTGTTAGACTGTCTCACAAATGAATTCGGTTGAATAGCTGTCAGCTGTTAAATTTAAGTACACAATTAGATAATACCAATTTAGGTCAACCAATTACCAAGCAATGCTTAATTTTGTTTAGTCTGTGGTGTAAAAAGGTTGCATTAGCAATTAAAGAAAAGACACTCTGACACAGGTCAAAGTGTCCGAACAAATTTTTGGTCCCAAATATTTATAAATTTTACTGGTAGTCCACTGTATGAAGAATTTTTGGGTATATGTCACAATTTACTTTATTTTGCTATCCTCGCTTACATAAATGAACTATAGTGTCCTGCACCCACTAGTAAAAAAAAAAATAATAATAATATCTGGTGTCTGAAAAATCTTTGGTTTGACTGTATAATGCAATGCAATGAACAAATAAACAGTATCAAATAGATACAGTCAAACCAAAATTTATTCTGACACCTTCAACATTTCTCACATTATCACAGTTTATTCGTTATAGTTTAGAAAATGGTAATAAAATATGACAAGAACTCAGAGTTAAACTGTCCGAACAAATTCATCTTGATAATGCCATCCTTCTGTTAGACTGTCTCACAAATGAATTCGGTTGAATAGCTGTCAGCTGTTAAATTTAAGTACACAATTAGATAATACCAATTTAGGTCAACCAATTACCAAGCAATGCTTAATTTTGTTTAGTCTGTGGTGTAAAAAGGTTGCATTAGCAATTAAAGAAAAGACACTCTGACACAGGTCAAAGTGTCCGAACAAATTTTTGGTCCCAAATATTTATAAATTTTACTGGTAGTCCACTGTATGAAGAATTTTTGGGTATATGTCACAATTTACTTTATTTTGCTATCCTCGCTTACATAAATGAACTATAGTGTCCTGCACCCACTAGTAAAAAAAAAAATAATAATAATATCTGGTGTCTGAAAAATCTTTGGTTTGACTGTATAATGCAATGCAATGAACAAATAAACAGTACCTTTAAGGGTACAACAGCTTGCTGTTTTTTATATATTTGATTTTACATACTTGAATGGCGGCTGAGACTGTGCTTTCAGGACCATGGACAGATCTCATACAAGAATCGTCGGCTTAAAGTAATTCAATAGCCAACAACTTTCATAAACCAGTACATAACAGGTTGCTATTGCTGCAAGATAAACCTAAATAAAAAAAAAAAGGCTCTGCAATTCTGGGGAGGGATGGAGAATATTTCCACACTTTAAATAGGACACAAATTTGTAGTTTTCATTTATATGCGATAAGTGTTGATGATCGCATTATTTTTCATACGCATATGCATACATGTTCGCAAACATGCTCGCTTCTGCGTCTTCCTGGTCTGTGTTTTTGATCGGCACTTTCTAGACTCGTTCAGGAGATGTGTAATAGCGCCCCCTAGCGTATACCAATGAAAACATGGAAACCTGGAAAATTCAGTATTTGGCGGGGAAAGATTTAAACATGAAATTTGAAGTAGAAAGACTGAAGTAGTAGTTTCTTTGAAAACATACTCCAATATTCTTTGTTTTATTCATATATTACAGTAAATCTCACCTCCAGCCTCTGGACAACCTCCTTAATATCCTCAACTTGGCTTTCTGACGTCGTCACAGTCACTGCCTCGCCTCTCTCGTAGAAGATATCCAGCGAAGGGCCACCCTGAGCTCCAGACTCGGTCACGGCCTTCCAGCCGATCACATCGCGGCAGCTGCAGTTAAACACGACGGTTCGCGTGGATCGCTCTATGAGCACGACCGACTCCGCCGACACGCCGAGCAGACAGGACAGGCTCAGACCGTTGTTCTCGCCGCCCTGAACGACGGTGACGGCCCACACTAAAGCACCTGCGCTGTGAAGCTCTGCACCTTTCGCTCCCTTCAGCTTATCTTTGCGCTTCCCGCCCAGCGACAGCAGGGGGAATTTGGTGGAAGAATCAATGGGCGTTGTGGTGACGTAGTTTTCCGCCAGGTCTTTTAGGTACTCTTGCCGCGTACGTGTGGCCATAGAGCGAAATTTCTCTGATTTCTCCGCCGCGTTCTCTGCGTTAATGGCTTTGGCGAGGAGAAAGTCCCGGAAGGCAGGAGAACGTGGGAAGCGTGCACCTTTAGGGAAGAGAGGACCGAAGAGAGGGATGTCCTTGGAACGAGTTACTGCAACTCTGAGAAGGGTGGAGATAAAGACACGTTTAATTTTATTTGTAACATTTTAGGTTTTCTTTTTCTTCAGTGCTTTTTGACTATGTCTTACCTGTAATAGGTGCTTTCGGTGCAGGGCTCGTGTACTTGGACAATGATGAACACATGCTGAAAGTGAGAACGGATGGTTTTGGGGGTGAAAGGTAAAGCACCTGGCTCCTGGAAGACTATTGTGACGATATCATTCCCTATGTGCCTCTTCCTCAGCAACTAGAAGATAAATAGCGAAAAAGACATAGAGAAATTTTTAATTCTAAATGCAGTGACTTAAATGAAAAGTGCAGTATACTAAAGTCATCAGACCCTTGTGAAAAAGCAGTTTGCTTAATTCTACTGAATGTGCATTTGTAGTGTATTTCAAATCTAAAAAGTTTATTTTAAAAAATTGTACTTGAAGATAATATTAATGAAAAGGCCACTTAAGTGACTCAAAAATAGACTGTTTCTTAACACAGTTAAGTACACTTTTAAAAAGCATTTTTAATAATGTCAAATTAAATCATTATGTTTTAACAATAACTCATGCTTTAAAGAAGTACACTTACTTTGATGTGTTGACTAACATACTAAAGCACATGCAAAGTACTAGATTATAATCTTAACTGTACAGCGTTGTTCCATATTACAATTAATATTGCAATCACTGCAATTAACAAAAGTTTATATATTTTAAATGTTCTAAATTGCAGCTTCATCCTTACAAATGTGTGATTACAAATATATTTAAATACATGACATACAAGTTTCATTAAAAATTACATTAAAGTATATTTTAGTTTATCATAAATGCTTGTCAGTACATTCAGCAGTACTTTAACCATATTTCAAAGACAATATAAGTATGAAATTACATATAAAATGTACTTAAGTCCTACTTAAGTGAGTCAAAAAAGCATTCTAAATTTCAGCCAATTGCATTTAATATAAATTTGAACCTAAATAATAATTAAGATGCAATTAAGTGATTGAAAGCATTATATTCTGTTCACACTTAACAACTTTTACTTAACAAACTTTTCACACTGAACTGCCTCTGTTGTTTTATTTTGTACTGTTCTTTGAGGTCCACTTATAATGTCATCAAGATTTTTACATAACAAAACATCATAAACTAGAAGTAATAGGCTATTTTCTGTCCTGTTTTTAACCCCCTCATCAGAATGCTCTGTTTGAGTAGGTGTGGCGGATTGTAGATTCGGAAGTAAACGCCCACTGCTATGATTGGCAAACCGTTGTGTATGTTTGACAGCCACCTCCTTCACAGATGGACGCTGCAGTGATTTAGGTTAAAATCGCATAAATACTCGTATCAAACGATCTGTTTAACAGACAAAGCAATATTGACCATGTTATGAAAACAGTTACTCACACTCATGTTGCGACATTACTTTCAGATCCAATATAGTCGGCACAGCATCGTCTTTTAGTTTCAGTCTTTCTGAATATCCCGCATCAAATCATGCCTTGTTTATAAACGAATCCGCGGTAAAATTAAGTGAACAAAGGACCAAGTTCTTACTGACGCAGTCTGGATCTTTATTAAAAATAAAGTTTATCCACTCTTTCCCAACATTGGGATCAGAAGGAAGGCAATGCATGGACTTTTCCCCCCCCACAACTTGGCACTGCACAGTGTCTTGCATTCAGAGTCATCTTTATCATTTGGTTTCTGCGTAGACCAGTGCTTGCCTCTCTCAGGTGCGAATCGGTGGGCGGGGCTAAACAGGCAGCAATGTAGAATTGGTGGGCGGGGCTAAACAGGCAACAATGTAGAATCGGTGGGCGGGGCTAAACAGGCAGCAATGCAGAATTGGTGGGTGGGGCTAAACAGGGCTAAACAGGCAACGACGTAGAGTTGGTGGGCGGGGTTAAACAGGCAGCGGTGTACAATCGGTGGGTGGGGCTAAATAGGCAACAATGTAGAATCGGTGGGTGGGGCTAAACAGCCAGCGATGTGGGGGCTAAACAGGCAACAATGTAGAATTGGTGGGAGGGGCTAAACAGGCAGCGATGTAGAATCAGTGGTTGGGGCTAAACAGGCAACAATGTAGAATCGGTGGGTGGGGCTAAACAGGCAACAATGATTGGTGGGTGGGGGAGGCTAAACA